AACATAATATTAAATGTTATATTTATGCGTTGAATCGTGTATACTCTTGGGAACATGTCTCGAAACAAGAGAGACTATACCCAGTGCTGTACGACAACAACTTATCTGACAAAGACAAACGATACGTAATATATACAAACTATATCTATAATAATACTCTGTATACAACATGTGATAATTTTATTCTCACGTGTGCAGCGTTAAAAACGATTAAGAAATGTGTGTTGTAGATTTAAGTACGAATATAAGTATTGTTTATAATCGCACGTGATTTTTCCGCGCAGGTGTACTATATAATATTGCTATATATATATTATAATATTATACATACTACGTATGTTATTTATGTTTTTGTTTGTGAAACCGCGAGCAGCCAGTTGTATACAATTGGCTACATTGTAATATTCATCAAAGAATATAAAATTGTTATCATATATTATGTGCATTATAATAATAATAATAATATTATCCCGTCAAAATACAGAAAACGTTTTCGYACAATGACATCCGGATAAAGAAGAGACACGAGTTAGTACCTACACCTACGTGCACACGACGTATTGTTGGTAATATAAGCGTATACCGAAGAAATTTCTTCCGGTGAGAATATTCGCGAATAATACGAATACAAACCGAAAGTCCTGTGTGTTATTATATTATACAGAACATAAACGGTATACTGACGAGATTAAGTGCGTATGCCTCAGAGTTGATTAGAAATACTTTCTACGCGGACATAATAATATTATCGTTATATATTATGAACATTATCACTGATCGATAACAAACGGCCATCGTTGTATTTTAGGCATACATTATACCTAATCATAATATGTAATGCTGCCGCTACTGTAGTCGAGGCATGCAAATCGAACCGCGATTATTCGTCAGATATTCGATATTTTATATAAACGGCTGGTTCYTACCAATATCGTTACGATATAATTCGAAATCCGTTTGATCTGAAACGGATATTTGGAATATAATTTTTTAGATTCCAGTACGATTACGACTATAACACTCGTTGTGTAGAAATTTAATTGGGGAATCACTACGATATACCGTTATCATCTCACGCCGCCAACTCGTCATCGTGATAATGAGAGAAATATTATAATATTGTATTAGGTATTATTATACTGTTCATGGTTTCCAGATGCGCTCCTAGTCATGAAATTTAGAGTAAATTAACCAAAACTGATCCGCCAAATTGAAACATTTTGTTCGATAATATGGTATTGTTGAYCTGCGTGAGCATCTTAAAATCTTAACGTGGTTAGATGAACATACTTGAATATTTACGAAAATAAAAAAACAATAATTGCTTTTTAAAAGATTTAACGTAACAAACAAGTTAAAACTGCATGTACTTGTGAGTACTTCACACTGTGTCCCCYGGAACAGAGCAAGTTAGCTGAGGTGATATAATTTTATTTAATATAATTTAATATGAATTTCAATATTGTGTTTTCTTGCAATTCATCATTAAAAATAAAAAACATTTTTCAAAATTATATTCATCAATGCTTTATTCATATTCATATTAGTCGCTATATGAAAATTAATCAAGAGAAAAACTTCAATATTCAAGTACGTAAACTCAGTAATTATTAATTTGATAATATTATAAAATATATACAATTTTAGTTTATTAATAATTTGTTTTCAGTGGTGTGTGTAAATCTGAAGATAAAAATAATATGTTTTAAGCTTTCATTGCTTGAATAATATTCTTATACTGTTCGAAAACTTCAACGAATTCATAAAATAATATATAATACAATCTATATAATTCAGTACAGTTATGTATTACAGCAGTACCTATCTATCTATGCAAGTATAACGTATTTAGTGTATTTGCACTATAATTAATAATTTATATGATATTCAGAATGSTGTATAAAATTTACTTATAGATTTGCAATGCGTCACTTGATCACATTAATGTAGTTATAATTTAAAATGATTTATAGCGAGAATTTTAGTAGTTATGGTAATAATTGCACTGTCAAACAA